CATGTGTACGTGCACGTGGGGCTACTAATTCATGTGTATGTGCACTTGGAGGCTACTAATCATGTGTACGTGCACTTGGAGGCTACTAATCATGTGTACGTGCACTTGGAGGCTACAAATTATGTGTGTGTGCACTTGGGGCTACTAATCATGTGTACGTGCACTTGGGGCTACTAATCATGTGTACGTGCACTTGGGTATATTTATGAACAAGTAAATAATCAGTAGAAGGCATATCTAACAGACATTAATGTCTCTAACAGACATTAATTGTTAATTTTTATGTAGTACCAAATGTCACATTTTCAGCTTTTATATCAACCATAACTGAACTTACAGGGATAGTTTCCTCCATATGGTCGTCCATCAACCGACGAACTGTTTCTCTGGCTTGCCTCTCCAACCTCATTTCTATGTGTTTCATATCTCCAAATTCCTTTGTGTGGTTTACATTTACTAAAAAATAAAAGAATGCAGAAGTTCAAAATTTTAATAAACCTAACGGAGTTTAAAAAAAAACCTAAATGACAAAAATAAAAATAAACAACCAGTGGAAATCTTGAAATGAATTATTACCAGTACATATACAGAGATAGGCAAAAATAAGGTTGTGATGAAAAAAGCTACAATTATAAATTTTGAAAAAAAAAAAAGTCTGGAACTATATTTAAAAATATTCTTTTTAAACTTTGTTTTTGACTGAAACAAGAGGGGCTAAATAAATACTGTTGGATAAATGTAAAGAAGAATTAAAAATCATTGAACCAAGAAGGGATAGACAGACATCAACATATGCATATAAGACAAGTTCATTGAATATGACTCTTTCACCCTAATACATGTACAAGAACATTATTTGAGTATTTGAAAAAAAATAAAAATAAAACTATTATACTGTTAACATTTGGAACTCTGTTAAACGTATTCTGTAAACAATGTTTGTGAGCAGATTTCAAAAGGTTTTTTTTATCAGAACATCAAGGTTAATAAATCAAGGTATAAAAATAAACCAAACTAAAATGTAGTTACCTCTCTCGGTTTCATCCATTTCAAAAAAATATACTTGTTGTAACTTGTGTTCCTGAGGCCATTTCACCATTTTCTTTTCTTTCTTCCTTTTGCCATGTGATAAAATGGACTGTAGTGGATACTGAATGGTCCGATCCTTTTCGGACTCCATCCAGTCAGCTATAAGGACAAAAAAAATAATTATAACAGGTTCATGAATTTTTAAGTTTCTTTATAAATGATCTTATACAAATAGTGTTCAAACTTATTATTTCTACGAGTTTTTTTTTTTTCTTGGGTAACTTGTATATTTCACAAATACCTAATCACCAATCAATGAAACTTCACAAACACTGTCCATTATTAGTTTAACACACGTGACAAGTGCAAACCACAAATTACAAAGGCAATGTTATCAAGCCAATTTATATGACACAAAACAATGAAGACATTACCAGCTCCTACATAACATCTACAATTGACAATGAAACATTTGTAAATGTTTTTCTAGAAATATTAACCAATAAATACCAATTGCTATTTTTAGTATGTAACACAATGCTTTCATGTAAACACTAATGTACGTAGCTTCATTTATATCTATGAAACACTTAGGAATACATAAACAGCACATTAGTTAATAGGCTAGAAAAAAAACAGTCAGGATTTTCTGATTATTAAGCAACACAAACACCGACATTTTATTGGTATGATCGCAGAAACAGTTTTTAATAACTGTGTTGACACTTCACATCATTCATTTAAATTTTCTTAGTCAGGACTCTGTTTATTCACAGTCTATAGAAGTTAGTTTATATGCAGAAACATTCTAATATTTTTTTAGTCATCACAGCAAAAAATCAGTAAAAAAATAGAGAAGAAACATGAATAAATCTCCATTTAAAAGTTTACCAGCTTCTCCTGTATCATCAACTGGCTGTTCTCTTATTGCTTGTTTGGTGCTGTCAGGAGCTACTGGTGTTTCTGTTGGGGATTGTGGGGATTCTTCGATGATAGTGGAGGAAGTGGATTCTTTTCTTTCAGACACCTTAGGCTCCCCTCCTTCAGTTTCTTCCTTTTCTTCCATGGAAGTTTCTAGAGTATCTTTGTAAAACTGAAAAAAAAATTAAGAATATTAAATTTGAATGAAGTATTTATGATCTACATGAATGTAAAATAATCCATTCTTCAGGAAATGAAAACAATTTGGATACTGTCAACTTTTACTAGGGGGTAGATCTAATGAACAGTAGATAAACTTCTAATATTATAGCAACATACTCCTGTGCTATAGATAGCTATTCTACATTTAAAAAAAAAACTTCTTGATGTCAAATAAAGTGGGATACCAATCTATACTTATGTTACCATTATAAATACGTCAAGCTTTTGAAAAAACACCTTAATGCAAGCGTTTTAATAAATACCTTAAGAAATTATTCTCAGATGTATCAAGTATCATTATACTACACAGAATACAGTATATATATATATACTACACAGAATACAGTATATATATATATATATATATACTACACAGAATACAGTATATATATATATATATATACTACTACACAGTAACTATATAGTATGTAATTATAATTACTATAACTAACCGACAACGTAATACAAGTATAAGTTATAGTATTACCAC